CCCCCCCGCCCCCGGGGCCTCGGTGGCCACATGACCGGGCCGTCGGGGGGGCCGGGCCGGGCTCTCACCGCCTACAAATGCGGCTTCCCCGGAGCGGGGCCATCACCGCTGCCTCCCGCCGCCCCGCAGCCCCCCCAGCATGGCCGCCCCGCGCTGGCTCCTCCTGGCGCTGCTGCTGCTCCTCCTCTGGCTCGCCTTGGTCGCCGCCGGTGAGTGCCGGGACCCCCCAATCCCCTGGTGTCCCCCCCCATCCCTCGGGGGTGGAAGATGGAGGGGACAGTGATGGGGTGGTCTGAGCTGGGCTCCGGGGAGGGCTTTGGGGGTGTCTCAGCACCCCTTGCCCGTGCCGGCCGGGGAGCTGGGGGGAGGACAAAGCGCTTTTCATGGTGCCAACAAACCCCCCCGGTATCCACGGGGGCAGGGGAGCCGTCACTGCCACCGGCTGCCGGGGCACGACCCGCCTGGTGCCGCGGGGGACAGCCCAGGGCATTGCCGGGACCCCGGTGGTGGGACCCCCATCCCTGCCACGCTGCCCCACGATGGGTCTCAGGCCCCCTCACCCGGCTGCCAGCCCAGTCCCAGCTCGGCACAGGTGGGACTGGTGGTGCTGGCACCGGAGCATCTCTGCCAGGGGAGCAGGATGCAGGGAGAGGGGCGAGGGTCCTGCCCTGCTGGACCAGGATCCAGGCGGACCCTGCCCCGTCACCGGCACAGGAGGGTGCCTTTGGGAGGGTCGGGGGCTTTGGCCCGAGGCTGGGCTGCTCCGTGCCCCGCGGTGAGGCCAGTGGCCGCACGAGGTGGCCGTGCTGGCCGCAGGTGGCCTGGCCGCCGCGGTGCAGGAAGCACTCGGCCAGTGAATGGCTCCTGCTGGGGGCAATTCAGGAAACGGGCAGGGCCCTGCCTGCCATGGGCAAGCCCCACGTCCCGTGGGCAGGGTGGGGGGACCTGGCTAATGCTCTTCCTGCCCTCCCCAGGGCCGCTGGGCCAGGCGCCGGACGGGAAGGATGCGGAGGACGGGCTCATCCGAACTCTGGTGCGGCCGAGGGGCGCGCGGCGTGGGGCCGTGCCCCGGCCGGGGGGCTGGCGGAGGTACCGGCGACCCCGGCCCCGGCTCTCCCACAAGGGGCCCATGCCCTTCTGAGGCAGGTGAGGAGCAGCGGGGTGTGGGGGGGACAAGGGGACACGTGTGATGCTGCCGGGAGGGGACACACACCAACCTGGCTTTGCTCTCGTTGCAGGGTGGCCACCAGCCCTCCAGGGACGTGGCTCCCGTCGCCCGCTCTGTGCCGTAGCCCGCTCCACTCGTCTGCTGGCCCTGAGCGTGTGGTGTCACCCCTGAGCCCTCGGCTGGCATCACCTCCCTGTGGCTGTCCCTGGTGGCCCCAGTGCCGTGGGTGCCTCCGGCCCCCCCTCCCTGCCTCCTGGGGTGGCTGGGGGCTGGTGGCTCGTCCAGCTCATGGTGGGGCCACCAGGTGCTGCCACGACACCCCCATCCCGGTGGCCACAGGGCTGCCCTGGGCATCGTCTCGCCGGGATCCCTGGGCTCTGCGCAAAGCACTTTGTCAGGAGGAGCTTCTCCGCAGGGGTCTGTGAGCTCCCTCCTGCCCCGTCCCTCCCGGTTGCCCCCCTGCCGGGGTGAGCACAGAGCTGTTTCTGGGAGGGGGGGTGTCTATTTATTCCCCCGGTGCTCATCCTGCACCTTGGGTGAGCTGCCCTCTCCCCCCCAGCCAGTGTGGGGTCCCCTCCCCGCTGGCAGACCCACTTCCTGGGGACCCCCAAGGCGTGGGGTGATCACCCAGGACACAACGTGGGGCTCTGAGCCCCTCTGCCTTCTCCACGCTGTGGGACACTGGGAGAACTGGGGGGCACTGGTGTGTCCGTGTCAAACACTGACATATGCCAAAGGGGGGACCCCGGCTCCCGGTGCCGCTGGGTCCTGTTGACCAAGTTTCTCGTGTCTGTAAAGATTTATTCCATGTAAATACATCTTTATAATAAAGAGTTATGATGACAGCAAGCCCTCTGTTTTGCAGGTTGGGGAGGGGTCGCTCGCCCACCGGTGGGGAGGGCTCTCTGGGGCCCTCTGCTCCCTCCTGGCACTGCCCGGCGGGGGCTGGGGGCCAAGGCAGCCCCTTCCCCAGCCCGGTGCTGGCAGAGAAGGTGCCCGGCAGAGACACAAGCTGTGGGGCTGTAAATGTGGGGAGGAGGGTGAGAAAACCCGTGCCCCCAGGTTTGCAGAGGGGCTGGGGGATGGAGGCGGGATGCTGAAGGGCACAGGGATGCTGGTCCCATCTGGGACAGTGTGGGGTGTGTGGCTGGGGGTCCTTGGAACAGGGAGCAAAGCCCCTGGCTTCAAATGGTGCCCCACGCCCCCCTTCTGGGGTTTATTTGTCTGCTCACCCCAGTTCCCTCTGCAGGGGAATCAGCTGGGAGGGCTGAGCAATAACAACTGCTTTAAACCCCCTTTTCTTAACCCCACCCTGCTCTGTGTCCCCCGGGCACCGATGGTGGCCACGTCTGGGGACCCGAACGGCTCCTGAGCCGAAGCCTTTGCTGGGCTCAGGGCCTTTGTGAGGAGGTTCTCCCCGGGGGTGGGGGAGCTCCTGTCCCACTGCCATGGCTGTGGTCACCAGTGCCCAAGGGTGCAGTGCCCACCTCTGGCATCCTTGCTGGGGGGCTCCAGCCCTGGGTGAAGGGCCAGTGGCCACCCCAGTGCTGCAGGGTGGCAGCCCAGTGCTGTGGGACAGTGGCCCAGTCCTGGGCACAGCTGGTCCCACTTGACTCTCCTGCCTTCAAGCAGCCCCAGCAATTGCCAGATCCCCTCTTTCCCCAGCCTGACCCCCCCAGCCCTGGGCAGCTGTGGGTGCCTGGCATCCCTGTCCCTGGTATCCCCCTCCCTGGTGTCTCCATCCCTGATGTCCACATCCCTGGTGTCCCTGTCCCTGGCATCTCTGTCCCAAGGTGTCCTTGTCCCCGGTGCCCCTGGCATCCCCCTTCCTGGTGCCCCCACCCTGGTATCCCTGTCCAAGGTGTTCCTGGTGTCCCCATCCCTGGTCTCCCCCCATCCCGGTGTCCCTGTCCCCATGGGGCTCTGTGACCCATAACAGGGGGTCAGTGGCTCTGGGGCTCAGCAGACTGAGGGTCCCTGTAGGACCTTGCACCGGGGGGGAGGGGGTTAACGGGGCCACCGAGGGGCGGAAAGGCTGCAGCTGCGGGGCTGGGGAAGCGGGGCTGGGCCCAGCTGGCCTCCATTAGCTCATCCTGCGGGACGGGGAGGGATGCGCTCCACGGCCACGCGCCAGCGCGCTCCCCACACACCGCCCCCCACGCCCGCCGTGGGGCCGGCTGCCCCCGAGCCCCCCGGGGACCTGCCATGGCACGGGGTGGGTGGCGAGGGCTGCCCGGTCCCATCCTGGCCCTTGTGCAGACATTTCCAGCCCCGTCAGCCTGCGGGGCCGGCGGCGGCGCTGCCATCGGTGCCGTGATGGGGGCAGGATGTGGTGCCCTGGCCACAGCCGCCCCCCCCCAGGGG